AAAAAAAAAAAAAACTAGAAACAAAAAGAGCATGCAACCATATACATGTTATAGATATTTTATTTATGACATAAACAAGTAATAATAGATTTAGAATGAGTGAGTGAATGTTATGGGTGTTATGAATAAGTTGTGTGTTGTGTGTTAGTGTGGTATGTTACTCATTGTTGGGTAATAATTTCTCAGTGTCTTCGTAATTCTGTTTTAGAAGCCATGTTGTGAGTCTTTTTTTAACCTCATGTTTATTTAATTTGGTAATGTCTAAGATTTTATTTATTTTGTTATAAATAATGGAGCTAGAGACATGAAATTGCCGAGACGCAAAAACAGTTTTATGTCGGGGGACAGCACAGGCCCTATGGGGTTTCCGTTTGAAAGCATCAGGCGGTGGCACCTCAGTATGTATGCGTAGGGTGGCTTTGAGCACAAAGAGTTGCCTTACTGTGAGAACAGAAGCCAAAGAGTAAAGTTCGAAAGTAGGATACCTGAGGGGCTTGTAGTGCATAACTTTGAGCACAGCTCTTTGCGCTCTTTCGACCTTGATCAATCTGGTCTTTGCCGCGCATCCCCATGCTGTCACACAGTAATACAAAACAGATTGACAAAGAGAGGAGTAGACCAAGTTTAGGGTCTCAGGATCGGCTGATTGTCTAAGGGTTTTAAAAAGATGGATTAATCGCCTTACTCTAGTAGTGAGAGCCTCTATTTGGGGAAACCAATTTAGGTTTTGGTCAATGTAAACTCCAAGATATTTAATGAAATGTTTTTGTGTAATGGGAGAGCAGCAGCATTTTTCGTTAGGACTACGACAAGAATGGATAAATACTTTATAATCAGATGGAGGTTGTGTGCTGTTACGAATGGAAAAGGGAATGAGATAGGTTTTAGACTGGTTGAGTGTTAGAAGATTCTGAGATAACCAGGTACTAATTATCGTCAGGTTTTGTTCTGCTTTAGATTTGATATCTGACCAATCCGACCCATGCACCACTATGGCGGTATCGTCCGCATAAGTAAAAACCTTGCAGTGAGGTAAAGACATATTACATAGTTGGTTAATATATAGAAGAAAAAGGGTTGGTCCGATGATTGATCCCTGAGGAACGCCGTATTCTATGGGAATCTCAGCACTAGTGTGACCGCTAATTGTAACGCTTTGTCGACGGTTAGAGAGGTAGTCACAGAAAATGTCGTAAGCAGCCCCTCTAATGCCGAGACTAGGGAGTTTGTTTAGTAGTGTAGGCACGTCAACGGTGTCGAAAGCCTTTTGAAGGTCTAAAAAGATGCCAAGACATTTTTGTTTCTGATCTAGCTTAGTGGTAATATGCGTAACAAGATCCACAACCGCGTCCTCTGTTGAGATGCCTGAGCGGAAACCATATTGTCGATCTGATAAAATGTTATTTTTTATTAAAAAGTTTGTAAGCCGCTTATTGAGGAGTTTTTCAAGTATCTTAGACAAGGACGTCAGGACTGAGATGGGCCTATAATTAGTAACGTTGCCTTTATCACCAGTTTTGTGGATTGGATAATAATTTGGATAATAATAATTTCTTATGTTAAGATAATATATAATTATTTTATTTGATGCAATAAGTTTTGTATTTGTATTTCAACCAAATATAAAAATTAAATGCTTTTCTGTATCATGTAAAATGTTTTTAATTGAAAGCTACTTGTAAAAACAAGTCATTTTTTAACCTAGATCCAAACTTAAATATTGATTTTTTATCATTATTTATTTCAATGGCCATGTTGGGCCATGTCGCACAAAATTGTCTTTTTAGCATTTTTTAATCATTCCGATAGAACATTATATTGTACAGTGGTATAATGTGCACCTCTGCCTACCCTTTCGGGGATAAAAGGCGTGATGTTATGTTATGTCCGCACTGATATGTGTTATATTTATAAATCTATGTATGTCCGATAGAACAAAATTTTCGTAATTTATTAATTTGCAACATTCAACATGTCTATTCTATTGTATTTTTGTCAATGTCAAAGTCAAATCAATGTCATTGACTCTGCGTCAAATCGCAACTTACTATTACTAAATAAAATGTTACAAATGCGAAAGTTTGTGAGTTTGTATGTTTGTTACTCAATCACATGAAAACGACGGAAGTGATCGGGATGAAATTTGGAACAAGAGTAGATTATAGTCTGGAATAACACGTAGGCTACTCATATTATATTACTATTATACTCTTTGGACTAATTTTTATCCTACGGGGACGCGGGCGAAGCCGCTGGCAGAAACTAGTTCGATTATAATAACGATAAAGGAGTGCACACGGTTCTTATCTTATCATTTTTCTTTTTGAGAATATCGTTAGTTGTTTATGAGCGAGCGACCGTGAACAGACATCAGTATCATAATTTGATTCAGTCGCCTAGCTCGTCGCGGTCTGTGTCGCACGACTGTTCGCGAGAGTTGTTTCATTTTATTAAGTGTTTTAGTGTATATCCTCAAGAATCATGTCTTCTGATACCCCAAGAGTATTATCTATTCAAAGCCATGTAGTACATGGCTATGTTGGTAACAAAAGTGCTGTTTTTCCATTACAGGTAACTACTAAATATTATACTAAATAAATACTCTACTATTACTTCATATAATAATTTAACATAAGATATTTACTTCTTTCTGATGGTTTTTCAATATTCAATCTCATTTATATTTTGTTATGCAATTAGAATACTGCTGACCAACTTTTTATAACAAAATACCTTGAGTATCTTGTTTTTGATTCAATATTTTTGTAAGGTCATTATTTTTAACTATGACCTTGTATTTAATTTTAATGTTATTTTATCATGTGTTTTATAAATTAACTGACAATATTTATAAAACTATATAATTTATGATTTATACATATATAAAATTATATTTACAATAATTTATGAAACCATCAAGGGTACTTGTATCGCGCAAGTACTTCAAGTCTGTCCTTATCACAATCATTTAGAATATTCTAATCTTGGTTTTTTATTGAATGAACTTTCAATGTCATGTTTAGAGACTAAATTAGTTCTTTCCAAGATAACCTTGAAAACAATGACAATGAATAAGAAATAATAAATAAAAACTTGTTTCCAATAATGATAATGATAATTTATTGTCAACATGTTAAGTGTTGAAATTATTTTTAAACATACTGCACCTAAGTCATGGTTTGCCTAGTTGTAGAAGAAAATAAAATTGATTATGGTTGGTAATAATTCAAAATTTCATGGTCATGAAGGGTTTAAGACTTTTATGCATGAGAGTTGGGCTTGAAACCTACTAAAAGAAGGCCATCCTAGTACCAATGTGACTTTTTCCGAGTTATGTGCTCTTTCTAAGATCATTTAGAAACCACTGCTAAGAGGTGAAGGAAAACATTGTAAGGAAACCTAGCCCTATAATTTCTAGTTATATTTATACCTATATTTGATATAACCACTTGCATTGAGTCATTGGTGATTAATGCTCAAGACTTCTCTGTGTGAGAAGAGTCTTAGGTTAACAGTTAATGATGATGTATGATCAAAAATTAAAAAGATATCTTTTAAATAATTCTTCTTTTTCAGGTGTTAGGTTTTGAAGTAGATTTCATAAATACTGTCCAATTCTCAACACACACTGCCTACAAACATATAAAAGGACAAAGCTTAAAAAATGAAGAGTTGGATGAGCTCATAGATGGGTTGACTATGAACGAAGTAGATTATTACACTCATTTCCTAACTGGCTACTCAAGATCACCTGATTCATTGAAGAAAATTGTAGAAATTCTTAAAAAGTTAAGGGAAAAGAATCCTAAGCTAAACTATGGTAAGTTTAAATTTCATTTGCTTTTCTATGTAGTTCAAGGAAAATTTTGTAATGTAGAAAATGGAAATCCGTATATACATACATATTCTGAGTAAACATCGAACTAATAAACAACGATATATGACTAACTGAGGAAGAAACCTTGAAAACTATTACTATAGTGTCTATTTTATTGATGTCACACTATAAAGCGTTTGTACCTATTATTACGACATGTCATAAGTGGCACAAACACATACATTATGAAATTCGAAAACAATGCTTACCACACATGATCACTAAATATTTACAATTTTACTGATAATGTAGCCTGACCTCTCCTTACAATCATCTTGAATAAAGTTAAATTGATAGTAGAGAGAAAATAATAGTTAATTCTATTAATATCAGTCATATTACAGAATAATAATTTAAAAGGCGATTAACTAATCTTGATGGCTAAAAAATGCTATTGGACGTCATGTTCGGTGTCAAGTGGTCATTCCCTTTATCTACCTAATTTATTGGTTAACAATAACTTAATGATTTGATTTGAATGCCTCGTTGGCCGAGTAGTCGCAAGTGCGACTGCCGCTCAACGGGTCTCGGGTTCGATTCACGGGTCGGGCAAAGTATTACTGGGTTTTTAAAAATTCTCAGTGGTGGCACGGAGTCTGGAATTGTGCCCGGTAATTATGGCAATAGACTCACCCTCACCCCCTATTACATGGGACTAATAACATAAATTGTGAAAAGTGGGTGTTACATTGTACAGTGGTACAATGTGCACCTCTGCCTACCCCTACGGGGATAAAAGGAGTGATGTTATGTTATGTTATCTGTTGAATGATTTGAAATAAAGTCTACTTCTTCCCTTATTGAAATTGTTCTGCTTAAAAAGAAATTATAGTTTGAAAAATTAACTATCAGCTAAATGACTGCAGAAAGATGGCCCGTCTGATTCCACCATGGCGAACAACAAACCAACGAATTAACCTATGGATTCAACGACTATCAGCGACACTGATCATATGATCGGGTCTTCCGTCAACACCATTGTGTTGCATGCATGGGTTCTACACAATGGGTTATGGAATGCCATATAATATTGACTAGTACAGAGCTTCCACTAGTACCTCAAACCGTTCATGCAGGGGAAACTGCGATAGAACGTACAAAAATACACCTTGTTATAATAATCGTAGAGTAGATTATTCTTTATATATAGGGACTTCTCCAATAAACAATTAACAAACCTAATTGGTCTTTGACCTTTCTCTGGCATGACGTTATGAAATCTTGCGTCACTGGCAGACATGTGACTATATTTTGCTTTGCTTGTTAATGAACACTAAGATGTACTGATATGAGTATTAACAATGTTTTATTTCAAATAACCTAATGTTTACTACGGTGTATCCATTTATACGACTTTATCTGTTAAAGGTCTTATGATAAATATTCCATTGTCATATTATCATCTTGTAAGCTTATCGAAGCGGGAAAGGCATTAGTTATATATATTAGTTATTTGCTCGTTCCAAAGTGTTCCTATGGAGAAGAACGAGCAAGAAACTCCATAGGTTAGGTACTCGTTTTCAATCAGGTTCACAATACAATTCTTGGTTACATGGTTTGATTGGTTCATTATAACAATCAAAATTTTTAAGTGTGGAAGAGCCATGCTTCGGCACGAATGGGCCGGCTCGACCGAAGTGATACCACGGCCTCACAGAAAACCGACGTGAAGCAACGCTTGCGTTGTGTTTCGTCGTGTGAGTGAGGTTACCGGAGGCCCAATTACCCTACCCTTCCCCAATCTCCCCAATCCCTGAATCCCCATCGATCCTCAAACTCCTAATCCCCAAAAAGCCGGTAACGCACTTGTAACGCCTCTGTTGTTCCAGGTGTCCATTGGCGACGCCGATTGCTTACCATCAGGTGATCCGTCAGCTCGTTTACCGGCTTATTCCATTTAAAAAAAAGCCTGTTTTACCTATAAAGTCTCTGTGGAGGTGAATATTTCATATTTATTATGACTTTTGTAATAAAATTAACAATCGGACTTGTGATCGGATCACCGCGATAGCCACGATTGTTTTCCGATAATGGAAGAATCTGAAAGAACCTTGACAATACGTATTGTATGTGTATTTACGAGATTCAATGCTTTCCATAGAAATACCAATATTTTTCACTCTCTCTTCGATTGTTTGCTTCATTTCTGAGGGTGTTCTCTTGAAAGGTTTTCATTGCTCTGTTATTTCCCTCCATCTTAACAGTGAGTTACTAATTATATTAATAACTTGGTCACACCATCAGCTGGGTGATCGGCCACGTGCTTTTTCCTTCGACCTTACCAACAACAACTAACTTGTCGGGGTTATCTGGTTGGCGGGGGACAATGTGATCGAAATACCCAAGAATTCGCTGGTACTTACGTATACGGTTGCGGGTACTTTTCACTGGAACAATATAAATTATGATATGTTTAAATAATGGCATCTTGTCACGGAGAACCTAACGGGTAACCGAGACTCCGGCTCGACGTGCAGGAGAAGGAACGGAGTGGTTTTTAGTCAGTAAGAGTCTGACACTCCCTCCTGCCTCACCCAAGCGGAAGCAGTGATTCGATGATTTTTCCCCTTAAAAATATAAAAAGAAATAATGGCATCTTATGATCATTTTCACTAACCACCGCCAAACCATATCTTAACTAATAGTTATTTAGATCAAGGAGTACTTAAACTAACCTCTTGCTTGTACTGGTATCACTTACAGGTTGATGGAAACCAAAATATCGTTAAGTGTCACCTATCTGAACCTAGGGGATTAGTACTGCAAAGTAGAACTTTAAAGACATCTCGATCTGGATGTTTCCACCTCTGTCTACGGTTCTCTAACATAGGTAACAGTTTAGGTAAACATTTTCCCCGAATTTCATAAACTGACAATATAGGACATGAGAGATGTTTGCACAATTTCAACTCGCTGATGTCGGATTACACACAGCAATTTATTTGAAAACAATGGAAACAGGAATTTCATAAATCAAGTGTTTTTCAGTACCTACAAAAACTATTATTACTTGCATTAGTACCTACATACATTTTTTTATGGCATAAGCCGGTAAACGAGCAGACGGTACCTGATGGTAAGCAATCGGTATCGCCCGTGGACAGCTGGAACACCAAAGGCGTTACAAGTGTCTTACCGGCCTTTTAAGGATTAGGAGTTGAAGGATCGTTGGGGATTCAGGGATTGGGATATTTGGGCCTCCAGTAACCTCACTCACACGACGAAACAACGCAAGCGTTACTTAACGTCGGTTTTCTGTGAGGCCGTGGTATCACTCCGGTCGAACCGGTCCATTCGTGCCCAAGCATGGCTTTCCCACATAAGATTATTTTATATTTATACACATGAAATAAACACGTCATTGTCCCATAGGAAAAGGCAAAAACCGCAAAGTTTAGGTACTGATTAGGGATATACAGAATCCGGAGCTAGACAATCTAGCAGAAGTAGAAACAGGGTAATTTTTAATCAGTAAAAGTAAGGACAAATTATTGGATTTTCCCGCCTCAAAAAAGGGATTGAATATACCTTTTTTACATAGACACTACCGAGAACCATCTACTCTTATACTTAAGATCATTCCGAAGTACCCATATAATATGTATTACTAGACCTAAAAATTACATACCTTATTAATTTTCAGTATGTGATCCTGTAATGGGTGACAATGGAAAAATGTACGTGCCTGAAGATATTCTCCCAGTATACCGCGACATTGTGGTTCCATTGGCTGACGTCATCACGCCAAACCAGTTTGAGGCAGAACTGATCACAGGAATGAAGATGAACAGCCTACAAGACGCTTTGAAGATAATTGAAGCTCTGCACGAGAAGGGACCTAAGACTGTTGTTCTGTCGAGCACAGAACTTGGAGATGAGAACTGTATGATTGGAATTGCTAGCACAGCGGGTATGTTCTTACGTTATTTATATGTATGTTTCTTTATTATTAACTTACTTCAATCTTAAGTTATTGAAATAGGGTCCAAAATTCAAAATAACTTGATTACTGATAAAATCCTTTGCCATATTAGATTACTGGCACAGGCCAGTAATCTCGAAAGTTTTAAATTCAAAAGTTTGTCAAATTCTATCAACACTAGTTATTTACTCGTTTTTACGTAGAAACATTGTATATTATTCATTCATATTCACGAAGAACCTTCAGCTCAATATGACTGGTCGTTTCACTTATATACCTTCTCTGATAGCAATAGCGTTCCTCAGTAATTGTTTATAAGAATAAAACAATTATTCCTTTTTTATTTCATAGGAGTTCAGTTTCAAATTAATATTCCGAAGGTGGACGCCACATTTACGGGGACTGGTGACTTGTTTGCATCACTCTTCCTAGCATGGTGGCACAAGACCAATAACAACTTAAAACTGACGCTTGAAAACACGATATCTACGCTACAGATTATTGTCAAAGATACATATCAGAAAGCTAGAGGTGAGTTCTTTTAATTGTAGCATTATTTGAAGTAGGAAAAATGATAAACGGTTTGTAGGTAAAAGTCATATAACTGACTGCCAAGCACGAATAACTATCGCATTCGTAACTTAAGAGTATCGAGCGCTCTGAGGCCTTAGTACGCATCCTCACTTTGATTGGCCGGCTCCAGTGAACCAACCAAACAGAGTGTCTCATTGCTCCCATTCGTTATATGCGTTATTAAGGGCCAAGGAGTAATTCTGGGTCCCATTATAGTATTTTATACTTTAAAGTACTTTAAACTACTCACACATCTGAATGTCAATATTTTATATGCATTCCATCGTTTTCCTTATAGTTCAATTGAAAAACAAATAACACAGTACCTTCTTGGCATGATTAGTTATGCAGTTAAGTTAAGTTTATACGGAAAATGTAATAATTAATTTGCACACTTTAAACGTTCGATTTGATTCCGCGTGCATTATAATTATGGGGACAATTTAATAATAGGTACAAGCAAAAAATAACAATTAATTATGTTCGTCTTACTTACCTAATGATAGGTTTGACTATACGTTGGCGCGGTGGCTGGGCAACCGGCTGCCGCGCAACGTGCAGTGGGTTCGATTCCCGCACGGAGCAACTCTTTGTGTGTTGCACAAATTGTTGTTCCGGGTCTGGGTGTCATGTGTATGTGAACTAGTATGTTTGTAAACGCACCCACGACACAGGAGAAAACTGTGGGGCAACGTTTTTTAAAATGAAAAAAAGTTTGTATGTCAGCATCACAAAATATTCTCCTTTTAAACCAAAAGTCGATTCAAATAGTAGGAGATCCCGCCTTGAACGACCTTCACCGAGATGCTTATTTGATGAAACTTATTTTATATTCAATTTAATATGTCAATAATTATATTCCGTATGGGTTGCCTAATAAATTTCAGTCCAGAACATGACTAATTATTAATTTAAAAAATATATTTTTTCAAATGTTTCACCGGTTTGACTATTAAACAAATTCCATTTCAATCGAAAGTATGAAGCCCATAGAATATGGAAACGTTAGGTTGCCTATTGTATTCCAGTCATAACTCTCGGGTTGCCAGGTCTAAACAGGTAAATTTATAGTAGGATTTTGCAACGGTCTGATAATTTAATCAAATTTAATTAAAAATAAAGATTATTTAATTATGAACACGGTAAAATAGGGTTGCCTGCGAAAAATCAGTCCTGAATTAGGGTTGTCGAATTTTAAAAAGTGAAATATTGCCGCGAGTGAATAGGTAAGACTGAGAGGTCCCAAGCAACCGTTCCGTGCGTTAGAAGAGGACAGAGCATAACAGCTGCTTTTTAATGCTGCTGCTGCTATTTTTGTGTCATTAACAGAAGCTGCTGATATTTTCATTGAAGATAAAATAAAAATAGTTCAAGAATTTATAGCTTGTATGTATAGGATTAAGAATTGCACTAATGTGAATAATGCAAGATATCGCATTATTATGAAAAATTACTCTGCTAAAGAAGACAGTGAGCAGTTTCTAAAAAAAACAAAAAAAATCACTGTTTATTACCTATACAAAATTATAAAGAAATATATTTTTTTATTATTCAGCTCCTGAGTCATCGGAAATAAAGCTTAGATCTTCGACACCTGCATCTTCTTCGTCATCTCTCTCTGTTTCGGTTCTTTCAACAATATCATCTATTCTTAAAGGTGCATGATCCCCAATAAATCCTCGTGGTTTTAAATATTCATCTAAGTACCAACCACAGCTCTCAGATTTAAGTTTGATACATATTGGATCTGTTGCATTCAGCCACATCGAATTTACTTAAATAGTTTGTAAAACTTTTTGTGGTAATGATATGCAGCACGGAGGTATGGAGTTAGAGTCAAAGCCTTTGATTTTTTTTAGAAACTGCTCACTGTCTTCTTTAGCAGAGTAATTTTTCATAATAATGCGATATCTTGCATTATTCACATTAGTGCAATTCTTAATCCCATATGTACATACAAGCTATAAATTCTTGAACTATTTTTATTTTATCTTCAATGAAAATATCAGCAGCTTCTGTTAATGACACAAAAATAGCAGTAGCAGCATTAAAAAGCAGCTGTTATGCTCTGTCCTCTTCTAACGCACGGAACGGTTGCTTGGGACCTCTCAGTCTTACCTATTCACTCGCGGCAATATTTCACTTTTTAAAATTCGACAACCCTAATTCAGGACTGATTTTTCGCAGGCAACCCTATTTTACCGTGTTCATAATTAAATAATCTTTATTTTTAATTAAATTTGATTAAATTATCAGACCGTTGCAAAATCCTACTATAAATTTACCTGTTTAGACCTGGCAACCCGAGAGTTATGACTGGAATACAATAGGCAACCTAACGTTTCCATATTCTATGGGCTTCATACTTTCGATTGAAATGGAATTTGTTTAATAGTCAAACCGGTGAAACATTTGAAAAAATATATTTTTTAAATTAATAATTAGTCATGTTCTGGACTGAAATTTATTAGGCAACCCATACGGAATATAATTATTGACATATTAAATTGAATATAAAATAAGTTTCATCAAATAAGCATCTCGGTGAAGGTTGTTCAAGGCGGGATCTTAGACTAAAACTTATAATGTATCTTGTTCCAGACGTTCAACCCACTGGCAAGATTCCACCACAACTGAGAGAGTTGCGCATCATTCAGAATAAGAACTTCATTGAAAACCCAAAGATCACCATCAACGCAATAGAGCTAAGTCCTAAATGAGTCGATATTAGTTCATTTCTAGCAAATATAGGATGACTATCCTTACTAAAATTATAAATGGAAAAGTGAGTTTGTTTGTTTGTTCCGCTTTCACGCCGTAACTACTAAACCGATTGCTTTGAATTTTTGCAGACGTAAAGTTAGAAGTCTGGATTAAATAATGGGGTTACTAATAATAGGGTACTTTTTATCCCAAAAAAGTTTGATATTCTCGAGGGAAAACGAAATTATTGGTATACACATAGCGCCATCTATGGCGCTGTGTGTATTGGTATATGTCACATAGGCTACTTTTTATCCTTTTGTGACGCAAGCGAAGCCGCGGGTAAAGGCTAGTTGTCTATAAATATGTATTCGTTACTATTGTACCTCAAGATTATATAAATGTTGGTCATATGTTTGGGGCGGATAGATTCCAGTAGATTTTCTAATTAATTCCGGTTTAGAGTCTTTTTTTATATAATTATGATGGGCCGACGTTTGACCGCTATCTAGCCTGGTGGTAAACGATGATGCGGTCGACGATGGAGCACGTCGTCACATAAGCAACCTATTCACTCGAGCCTTAAAGACACCCAGGTTATACCCTTCAGGAAATACAGATTCTGGCAAAGAATTCCACTCCTTAGCACGCACAAGGAAGCTTGATGCGAAGCGCTTCGTGCGTGTTGGTGGGACATCTACCATGAATCAGTGACGCTTCGCCGCTTGTCTTGTGGTACGATGATATCCAAGTCCAATACAGTTTGTACTGGCTCTGATAATCAATGTATCCATGCTTCACGCCGCTGTAGATGCAGGCTTACAGGAAATATGCGACATGTATTCTAAATATCAAATAAGTAATTCATTTCAGTAAAATTCATAAAATTTATTTAGTATGCAAAGTTCGCATGTTATTTTTTTATATTTTATTTATTATTTCATCCCCAAATATATGACCGCGTGTTTTTGATACATTTCGTAGGAGCACTTACTAAATAAATGTACTTATTTAACCCATGTTATACCGGGAGCGTAGATATACGCGAGACACAATGTGTTTTCTATTGTGTCGCATATCGCCGGCAGATAAAAAGGTTAAAAGACAATAATGTAGAATAGTATAACTTATATCAAATGAGAGTTCAAAGCCTAAAATTAAGAATATTATTATTGTGAATGTCAATATATCTACATGTTATGTACTTAGTAAATGCTTTTGCTGTTAAGTTTAACTTTGCGGAGATCGTTTAGAGGATGAGACGGTATAGTAATACTATTTTGTGTTATAAATATTGTGTAAACATTGTTGTCTGTGTAAAAATGTACGTCTTATACTGCCCAGTCACCGGTGACCGCTTTCCACTTACTTACTCCATTATAGGTCTTATTTCCGAAATTTAGAGACTACTTTTGTATGAACAAATGTTGTGGACTTGTCATAATCGGGGATTAAGAAGTTCTGTAAGACCACCTCAATCATTGAATAAATATGCAAGAAGTTGATTCGTGAGTATTTCTGCTTGATTAATGTGCAAATTCATTGTAAAACAACAGAGATGGCACGATATTTAAGTACACAATTAAAACTTGAGTCAGGGTGAAAATGGTGTCGTGGTGGCTCGGAGGTTGAAGACGCCTGCTTCTCATACACGAGGGTGCGGGTTCAAAACCTACCAACGGCAAGCACCAATGTGACTTTTTCCGAGTTATATACTCTACGGATACAAATTGTAACATATTAAATAATTTGTATCCGTAGAGTATTTTTGAGAAAATAAAGATTTTTATTATTATTATTTAGACACCGCTGACCAAAGGTGAAGGAAAACATCGTGAGGAAACCTGTGCTCATAATGTCTAATTATAAGTTTGTAATCGCCAACCCGCATTAAGCAATCGTGGTGATAAATGCTCTAACCTTCTCCATGTGAGAAAAGGCTTTGCTTAGCAGTGGGCATTTATGAGCTGTTGATGATGATGAAAAATTGAGTCGCCATTCAGCATCGGGCGTAAGGTTAAAACAAGTTCAAATTCTGCTTTAGAAGTCGGTTCCTATCAAGTATTTGATATTGTGTACGTTCTTATCCTTCAAACAATCTTCGCAGAGTAAACGTTTTTAAGTAAGATTAATATAAAAATTGCAATATCATAGATTTCGACCAATATCGAATGTCTTCCATAGTGAAATTAAGTTATGCATACATTTTACATATCTGTGATAGACATAATAAATGTTATCTTTGTGTTTTGTTGGCTAAGCACTATTTGTGTCATATCCAACTAAGATTAGAGCCGATTTTTCAGTCATCAGTTTATTACGGTAGGTACCGGTACGCGTTCGGCGCTCTGATTGGTTGGTTCATTAGAGCTGGCCAATCAGAGCGCCGAACGCGTACTCGTTTCGATTACTTTACACGTAAAACAAACTCTAAGGCCTCTGTAGAATAAAATTGACATAATTGACAGTTATTAGTATGGGAGAATTGTCGGATATCCAAAGTTATTCTTATAATTGAACTGAGCATTGAAAAATCGGCCTTAAAAAGTGATTATTCAAGCCATTTGCAATAAACGTTACTGTGTAATAGATTAATTTTGTTTTTATATTTTCATGTAAGTGTTATATTGTATAATGTTGTGTTAATAAATATTATACGTTAAGGTGTTACAACTGTGTATTGTTATTATATGAAATTAGAAAAACTTCAGGCCTTTTTGACGGCGTATGAGGACCCTAAAATTGATATTAAGTCTAAGGACATGGGCTCCGGACCAGGTCTCTTCAGAAGACCCAGTGTCGCTTACAGGTGCTGTGGGTGGCCACCGAGGTAGTTTTATTGAGGTACAAATCCCACACTCCCTAGCCTTTCTGCCCAAAAAGCTAGGCGCCTTTTGAAGGTTTCCCCACGACATCAAAAAAGGCGTTACTTAGGAAATTAGATACAATCTACATTTTGCAAATGTACCCAAATATGTTGCGCGTCTTGCCAACTATCTATAAAAAATGTTACTATAGATAGGTAAATATTAAATATTAAAACTAAAACTCAACAAGACAACCAAATTGGAACATAAAAATTATATATTGTAAATTAAAAAAACACGATATAATTTAGACTTAGCTTATTTCATTCTCGTCTAGAAAGGACTCGATCTCTATGCATAACTATGGCACCTAGAATTAAACAGAGTAGTAATGCGTGGTACAGCCAGAATATTGAGTTGTAGTAGCGCAGTATCACTGCTGAGTCTCTCAGGATAAGGCAGGGGGTGAGGTAGGCCAAGCAAAACAGTCGCATTATAGAGAATCCAATGTCCCATGGCATTTTTAACTGTGAACAATAATAAAGTGATATATTATTTGTATTACCACAATAGGTCAGACATATTAGGTACGTCTGTGTGCCTTACTTACGTTACTATTCAACGCGTTTACTCAACTACTTTCAAGCTAAGCTAGAGACCCTTATCCAAGCGGTGAGACTTGAAATTAGTCGAGAAGATCGGTAGATATTCGTAAGAAATTGTCATAAGAGGTATTTGCGCGTAAGGAAGGCTAGCCTTTGCAGGAAAGTTCTAGAGAAGGATACTAGTACGGCAATGCATATTTACTTACTAATACCCTAACATAAAATTTGTTGAACACGCGATAAGTTCACAACAACCACGTTCTAGTGCAAACAGATAACAAACAACCTATCTATTAGTATTACAAGTAGGTACAAACAAAGGACGATTATAAATAGTCATGACTTGTTATATTTAAATTAATTTATTATCTTTTAATACCTGTTACTTAGTACCTATTAGGTATCATAAATGATAATGTGAATATAGATACCTATTTATTAATACAATATCTTTAAACAGGTAAGTAATAAGTATCTTACCTTTATTTGTCTGTTTTATTTTTAATATAAATTCATTTGACCTCCGAAAGTACTCGGTACTTCGAATTAATAAATTAAAAGAAACAAAAAATTAAATTTAGAACAATGTCATACGGTTTTTTGGCTACATAGCGTTTTAATGTGTTTGTCTATCCCATTGGCCGACAGGCGTGAAGAAATATAGTTACTCTGATATGGTCTAAAAATCAAAGTGTCGCATTCCTGGAGTGACACATGCCTACGTCACTATCCGGGCGTGAAACAACGCTTGCGTTGTGTAACCGGTAACACAACGCAAGCGTTGTTTCACGTCGGTTTTGTGAGACCTTGGTAATTGCCGTGGCCGTGCCGAACAACGGCTCTCCCATAATTTGTCTAAATTTTAATAATTGGTAGGTAACTAAATCTATCAATAATTTTGATTTAATTTACTTATAGCTGCAACTACACGACATAATCTATGTTAATATTTTAACATGAAAAAATAATACTAACCATGGCATGAGTGTCATACATTACGTCATATTCGTTCTCTAGATGGAGGTGTATCCAGAGAGTAGTGGAAATTATAAGCTGCTGGAGTGTTGGCCCGCACCAGAGCGTCCACGCCAAGAATGATAGTGCGCTTCTAGAAAAATAAAGAATACTGTTTACAACATAACATCACGCTTTTTATCCCCGTAGGGGTACGCAGAGGTGCACAATACAGCACTTCCCGCTGTATAATGTAACACCCACTTTTCACTATTTATGTTATAAGTCCCATGTAATAGGGGGTGAGCTTATTGGTATATACCGAGCACAATTCCACACTCCGTGCAACTACTGAAAATTTTGAAAAAGCCCAGTGGGTACTACTTTGTCCGAGCCGGGAATCGAACCCCGAAACCTAGCAGTCACACTTACCACTCTGCCAACGAGGCAATCAACAAGAAAGTCTAATTTACAAGAGCATTTTTATTATTATACTTAATTTAGGTATGTTTTATATTATCTGTCAACGTTAAAACGTTAAATTCTTAAATTTTTGACTAATTTTGTAATTTTGGCCAATCATGAAGCCGTAACAACCAGGTAATGACGTGGTTTCCTCGTAACGTACTTAGATAAGACAAGACTAGATGTAATGCAGAAATCAGATGAACGTTTGGCAATAGGCTCGCTCTCTGTAACCCACGGTTACATTCGACTCGTAACATAATTGATGAAAAGTGCGTGTCTAGAACTTAGTAGAGAGTTAGAGACTTTCGGATGTTAGGCGCGCGCGCGCGTAGTCTACTTAAGATTTATTTTAGTCCAAGTGCATTTGAAATACGTAATTTAGATACACACACCTCACTTCCTTTTTCGCTTTGGACATGCCTTTGTAAGTGTGTGCCCAGAACCAGTATCGCGTGGACATGTCCCACCCTCTCAGTGTATCCCTCATTCGTGGTCCAATCAACAACTTCTCGTTTTCAAAAGACCGCAGCATAGCGAAATTGTATTCTTGTTCTAAAGCCACGTCTTCTGTTACGGCTCTGAAATATTGTAAATAATTAATGAAAATTTTCTAAGGGTCACGAAATTGTCTTTGACAATTGGGTACTTTTCTTAATCAAAAATTAATTATTTCGACTGTTCCCTACAATAAAATATTAAAAAAAAATCACACTTTCATTAATTGATTTTATGACCGACTTAATTTTAGTATTTTTTCAGCTAGAAGAAACAAGTAAGAAATAAGTATGCTGTCACAATAGGTACCTATGTGTACACAATCTCGTACAAAATTCTTAGAAAACTGTCGGTTTTGACAGTTCTAAAAAAGTATTGAATTTGACTAGTTGGCAAGTTGGTACCGAATTCATAGAAAGAAGCATTCTTTATTATTTGGAGATAATATTAATATGTTCGAATAGGACACAGGATGAAAGGTCAAGCATTTCGTCTTTATTGTCGGTACCTACATTGACAGTTTTCGCTATTGAATAGAAGAATCTTAGTATTCTTAGTTCCTAGTAGGTATATCATATCGCTATTTTTTTCGTTGGCTCTTGGGATTGATAGGTTAACAAATCTTTATGTAGGTATGTATTTAGATGACATGCAGTTGGCAAGTTACCTAATACCTTCCATAATCATAATGTTCAATTTGCACACGTTGTTTACATTCCAAAATAGCTGTTTTGAATTAGCATACGTACCGTGTGCGACAAAGTGCGTATCATGTGCCTGACAATGTTGTATCATGTTGTGCTTATCTCTAACTAGATATCAAATCAACCTAGACGTGATGATTAAAGTAGGTAGGTAACTAGGTACCTAATGAGTATTTTTAGAATGTCATAAAATATCTATCTAGGTAACGGTGTATCTAAATAGGTAACTTAGTCATCCGCAACTAATACACTTTCGAGCAAATAAACGAGGCCACTAGGTTTTTATAAACCTAAAAACGAGGTTTTTACTTTTTCATTTCCTGGAAATAATTTTTTGAACCAAATAGGTATGTCGTATAAATAACAATTTACTTAGTCACCTTTAAAATGAGAACATTTTGTTGGAAAAGCAGTATTTTTTTAAAGTTCCAAGTATGTTCGATAAAATGAAAAAAAAAACCGCTGGTGGCTCCGTTTCTTTGCTCTCAAGTGTAAAATATTAGTTCTGTACCAACTACGCTACTACTATAATAATTAAATAGGCGAGAAAAAAACTTACGCGAGCTGCAGCAAGCTGTACCTAGTCGAGGGCCCATGGCCGGGCAGAGGCTGTGTCTTAGTAGGGTATACCCCAAACCCGGCCTCCGTACACACGCTAGTACATAGCATCATCACGACTTGATATTGAAGCACGTATGATACCATCTGGGGGATGTTGTATAGATAACGAAAGTCTGTGCCGTGTTTTGTATAGAAATCATTGTCGTAATACAACTGCAATGGGTAAAATTAAATTAATCTTTCGACTGCTTCGTGGTTTGAGTGATCGTAACGTATCTTGCTTCGGAAAAGTTAGGACAATATTAAAGACTTTTCGGTCTTTCTAAAATGTTTTGGTCAGAGCTAGCACGAATTCTGGAACTCTAGTTCGGTGTATTGAAAGAGGCTTCACTAAATTCTTTTAGAAATTCGAAATCCTTAGTTCCTTAATAAGAACACGTCCCTTCTTTTTTTTAGTTTTCTTCGTCGATAGACACAAGATACCTAAATAAAGGTAGGGGGTGCTGCGCCAGGGCATGGAATACTACATTCCATTCTCGGACGTGGCATCCTCTGGTGGGACCCGTCCTTGGTTCGATGCCGACTGCGGACGTGCCGAAGCGCAAAAGCAGGCGGCATACTTGGCATGGGCGGGTGCCAGGCGCCGTAGGGCTGATGACATTCATCAAAAGAAGAGAGCCTTTAATCGGGCTGCCAAGTCATGCAAAAAGGCATTACGGATGGCTCGATTTAACCACATTGGCCGTATAGGGAACAAACTAGCTTCCTACCCAGCGGGAAGTAAAGCCTTTTGGTCCCTGGCCAAGGCGGTTGAATCGAACTTCTGTCGCTCCTCACTTCCTCCGCTCCTGAGGTCTGACGGAACGCTGGCTCACACTGCGGTAGAGAAAGCGAATCTATTTGCTTCTCTATTTGCGGAGTCTTCGCGTCTTGACACTGGTGGCGCCTTGCCTCCTTCTGTTAATAGCGTATGCAAGACGAATATGTCGCAAATTCGCATTCGACAGAGGGAGGTATATAGGACGCTACGCGATCTGGACGTGAACAAGGCCAGTGGTCCCGACGGAATCCCAGCCCTGGTTTTAAAAACCTGTGCGCCTGAGTTGTCTCCAATCTTGACACGTCTGTTTCGCCTTTCCTTGGAGACGGGTCTAGTACCGGTTGCATGGAAGCTGGCCAACGTACAGCCTGTGCCTAAAAAAGGTAGTCGTGCCGACCCTAACAATTACCGCCCTATTTCGGTCACGTCCATACTCTGCAAGAGCATGGAACGTGTTCTTAACAATAGACTCCTGGCATACCTTGAAGGTAACGATCTCCTCAGCGATCGGCAATACGGGTTTCGGCGTAACCGATCGACTGGGGACCTTCTTGCGTATGCCACTCACATATGGAGCGAGGCCATAGAGGGGCACGGAGAGGCACTAGCAGTCTCCCTCGATATTTCGAAGGCCTTTGACAGGGTATGGCACGACAGTCTAATCGGCAAGCTTCCTGCATATGGACTTCCTACTGGTCTGTGCATATGGATAGCAGACTTTCTGAGGGATCGGTCAATACGAGTAGTCATCGATGGCTGCTCGTCTGACCAATTCGGTATTAATGCCGGCGTCCCTCAGGGGTCAGTACTTTCAGCGACGCTCTTTTTGCTGCACATAAACGACCTGCTTAAGCCCGGTATCTTTGGGTATGCAGATGACAGCACAGTTGTTGAAAGGTATGTGTCCGGTGCGCGGACTAGCGGAACACAGATCCAGTCTTTAAGAGAATCCATGGTCGAACGTTTGAACTCGACCTTGAAGGCGGTGTCCGACTGGGGTGACGCCAACTTGGTTAGGTTCAATGCTAGCAAGACCCAGGCGTGTCTATTCTCCGCCAAACGGAGTCAATTTCCGCTGACTCCTACTTTCCGGAATGTATCCGTACCGATAACCGATCGTCTTGAGCTTCTTGGTGTAACTCTGACGCCCACGCTCAACTTTGGCTCATATATAGAGTCAAAAGCGCAACTGGCTGGTAGGAAGTTGGGTGTCCTATGGAGGGTGAGACGGTACTTCACGCCGAGACAATTGCTGAGCCTGTACCAAGCACAGGTTCGGTCCTGTATGGAGTACTGCTCTCATCTTTGGGACGGCTCGGCTAAATATCAGCTGGACGCGTTAGAGCACATTGAGAGGCGTGCCAGGAGGCTCATCGACGATGATGCGCTTGTAAAGGCTCGGCTTCAAAGCCTCGAACACAGGCGTAAGGTTGCAAGCCTTTCGGTTTTCTACCGGATACATTTCGGGGAGTGTGCGGGGGAATTGCACAACTTAATTCCCCCTAGTCCTTTCCATCATCGTACCACAAGACAATCCGCGAAGCGTCACCGATTCATGGTAGATGTTCCGCCCACACGCACGAAGCGCTTCGCTTCAAGCTTCCTTGTGCGTACTGCTAAAGAGTGGAATTCTTTGCCAGAGTCTGTATTTCCTGAAGGGTATAACCTGGGAGTCTTCAAGGCCCGAGTGAATAGGTTGCTTATGGGACGACGTGCTCCAACGTAGACCGCATCATCGCTTACCATCAGGTGAGATAGTGGTCAAACGTCGCCCCATCAATTATAAAAAAAAAAAAAAAAAAAGGTAAAATAAAATACCCTTAGGCGATTTTATTCCTACAGATACCTTAGCATTCTACGTACCTAGGTATATCAATCAATTAATGTGAATTTTCATACCTGAGTAGGAAATTTGAAACGCAAGAACAAATATACAACGCTACACACAAGGGCTTTCTTCAGTTTCTGTTCAGTTATTATTCTACAATCGCCAAGGACCCCGAAAGGGGTTTTAAAGTGCTCATTAAATGTCTTCCAACGATAATAAGGGCCTGTACAACAAAGTTCAGTAAAAAAAGTTAGGTACAGTAGGTAACTGTAAAGTAGGTACTGCATTAGCAACAAAAATAGTTACGCAGTTTTTGTATTATATATGTATAAATAATGATAAAAATAATGGAATGAGGTTCTGTGAAGGGTTTTACTAGCTCATTTTGTTATTTCAGTGTTACTATCTATATACATTATTTACCTTTATGTAATCCGATGAAGTAATATGCATAAGAAATGATGTCCACAGCGCTAGGTTCCGTAGGTACGTAGGCCAAATCTCCAATATTAAGTCTATGGTTCGAACTTTTAGATATCACGTCTGAATATAAATCTGGTTCTTTTAAATACTTGCTGGCTTTTGAAACCTGTGATCCTTTCGCCGTGGCCGTAGTGGGTTGTCGTTTTGCTTTCTCTGCGAGGGTGATTTCAAACGCAAGGCCTACTAGGCGCAAAGCGATGGCTTGATGCACCCACAGCACATAGTGCGACAGATCCAGGTTGAAAGTTATATAGATTAAGTAGAGCCATGTATAAGCTATGCTTAAGTGATGGATATATCTGAAAAATAAGTTAACAATCCGCTAACTTACTTGACTATCATAAAAATCTACCTAGGCTTGATACCCAAACAAATAACTTTAACGCACTATAATTATACCATTAAGATCAACTTACAATTTGTTGCAACATTTTATAATGACGATGTTCCCCCACACCATAAGGACGGAGTGTGCCATGGATGGTCCGCACAGCATACAAGTGATGAGTATGCCGAGCCCGGTCCCATAGTTGCGCTTCGTGTTAGGGTTCTCAATCCTCTTATAGTACCCACCCAGGGTGATACATATTAAGAGAGACGAGAAATATATTATGTCAGAAAGTGCGTACATTTTATTCCTTGCTTATAAGATAACATTTTCGATGATTTTTTTTGTATTTTTAGTTTTATGATTGCTAATGATGGTTAACGTTTGTCTGACATTGACGGGAGACATATGTCGGTTTTTTTCTCTATAATATGGTTTCAGTGTCATTTTTTAGTGTAAACTTCATATAGGGTGTGATTTGATCACCTCCCTAACGTCACAACGGAGAACTTAGGAATTCAATTCCTTAATAAGTATAGGGGATAGAGGTACACAATGTAACAAGCACTTTTATATTATTAGCCTTTTGAACACCACGGTCGGCTGTAGCTGACGATAGGAATCCTTGCATTTTCTTCAGTCAAGTGTATTTTTTTAATTACCTCAATTTAGTATTAAATAGAATTAGGTAGCGGAACTTTAGGATTAGAATCCCTCCTATCTAATGATAACTCTGCCGTATATTTAGCCTGTGTATTTTTAATAATTAATATTATTCATTTACGGCTGTGTGTTATGTAAATGTAAGGTTGAATTTCGGAAATATTTTCGTGTCTACTTTAGGGTGTAGCCGAGTTTCAGGTAGAAATGAAAGGCACAAATTGATTAAATAAACAATTTACTACACATAATGTAGGTTCACAATAAAAATATTTTCTAACAGAGGTATGTAACAGTTTGTCTGATGCAGACATAGCCGGTGCCTAGACAATACAATTTAAACTCTGTGTCAGCGCAAATAAGCTTTCTATTAGCATCTCTCAATATATCGGGCGAACAATATTGCGCGCAGTAAATAAATAAAAACTTTTAAATGCATATTTACCCACCATTATATCTAATTTGGCATACCGGAATGTTGATTATCCCCGAATACTTTGGCCTTCAAATTCATAAAGGATTTTGCAAATGCAACTCAAGTTTTAACATTTTAACGTGCTAACTAATACTACGTCTCATAGCCAATACTCCATGCTTGTTCTCTAAAGCGATTCAATAGTATAAAGCGGTATATCATTACGCGAAATATAGCGCTGAAGCTCGTTCTAGATATATTCGTGTACAAGAAAATATACCAGGAGGAAGGTACTACTGTCACAGATACATCTATTCTATGCAAACGTTTGAAACATATCACAATAGAAAGATTTTATCAAGAAAACAACTAACCTATAATACTGCTTAGCTATAATAGCTATTACATTATACATATAAATTACTTAGTTTCATTAAAATCAATAAATGTAGTAATTATTTGACTAGCATCTAAATTCTATAACAAAACGATGTAATATATCAGTGTAATTTTATTCAATATGCGTCAACCGCACGCTAAACTAATGCGTACGTAAATTTGTAAGAATAAGAAGCGAAGCAATGCTAATGGAAACTTCTATAATATTCACCGACTATACTACTACATGTGTTCAAAACAAACCTTATAAATTCGGTATCGGAAGAGCATTAAAATTAACGACACCGAGTTGAAATTCACATTTCACCCTGATAACCACGATCTAAGTATTGCTCAGCTTCTTAAATTATCACTTATCATGAATACGGGAAATCATAATGTACAATATTAATATAAGCCTATCAAAACCATGGCAACGAATATAACACCATCATGATTACAAATTAAACTAAATCTGCATCAGACTCAAAACAATTTTTTATAACTAAAAATTTGCATTGCTATACAATTATTATAAAAACATACACAACATACAAATGTCATCGTGGCCAGGCCATAATAAATCCTCTATGGAATAAATACTAACTAAAATGGTTCCCACTTAAATTCATGAACATTGAACATGCTGTAATAATTTTATTTCTTTCATAATATGTGTGTAGTGCATCTGTTATTATTCCTAACACCACGCACTAAACATCTAAATATTGCCTTTACAACTATTGTTATTAATCACACCTAAATGTTGTTAGAAAAGTATTGCCTCTAAATATAATATATGAAAAAGAGATTTTTATTAGATCTACTTACATTTCCTTCTATTTATATAAATAAAGTTGAAACTTAATGAACAGTTGGTTCCGAACACAACAGACTGTTATATTAAGTACCGTACAATAAATAAACAAATTGTTCCTCGTTACGTTACATTACAGGAACTAGTTGTAAGTTAGTTTGCGCGAGAGAGCCACCCGAGACAACACAAACTTAGCTCGTACAACCTCCCCACCTGTGTGCAATTATATTATCAGAGTCGTAACCAAAGTGCTAGAATTTCTAATTACGATATAAATCGATTAATTTCAAGCTTCTATATTATACGCACAACGAACAATCCAATTGCATTAAAATTGTCAAGACTTCCACTAATTTTAAATTTAACCGACTCGACCGATTACTCATTACGTTTTTATTACTTTTTACTTTATTTTATATATTTTTGATCTATTGCACAAACACATATAGGTAGTCGCTATGCTTATCTACTCGAATTATAAGTTATTAAATTTTTACAATACCTACCACAGAGTTAAATACAACATCCAGAACGTTACGTTAATAATTACAAAATTCAATCGGTGCAAACGATTACAAAAGTTACTATTTATCCACAATCGAAAATCACTGGAGGTAAACGAAATATATATTTATATATCGTACTTTTAATTTGATCGGTCCTATCACATTAATTCGTACAACAATAAAATGCGATCAGCATTCATTTATTAATAATTGGCAGTCCTAAAGAGTCACTAAGAGTTCATCGCGCTTGACCGGCGGCGCGGGCCGTCGCGGGAGCTTACGCGGGAGCGGGCACTGCGCGTATATGACGCGGACACTGCGCGTGTAGTGCGCGAGTACCGCGCGGGCACTGCGCGGACACTGCGCGTGCGCGGCGCGGGGACAGCGCGGCAGTGTGCGGGCGCTCACTTGATGAGTTGCGCCGCACTCTTGGAGCGGCGGAACATCTTCGCGCCCTTATTGGGCGCGGGAAGCTCATGCTAGTTGGTCCCGTTGGGCGCGCGCGCCAGGGCGGGCGAGGGCTGCGGCGCGGGCGCGCGCACCAGCGACATGGCGTCCTTGTTGCCGTCGGTGCCGTATATCTTGCCCGCCTTGCGCGCCATGGACGCCAGCAGCTCCTGCGAGCACTTGTGCGCCGACCGCAGCGACAGCGCCCACTCCTTCAGCCCGATTTCATCCTGAAAACAAAAAATTAGGGTTCAATAATCTTGGTACTCTAGGTACAGTATTTAGTTGTATTTCAATATACTCACAGTATTGGTGAGCACGATTTTGGTATCGTTTCTAGTCCTCAGAACAATGCATTGCTCGCCCTTGATGGACACGAGGTCCGACGATACTTCCTCCACGGAGTCCAGCAGGATCATCTCGGGCTTGGCACTGTTCTCCAGGTGCAGCTCCAGCCGGTTCGGGTAAAGCTTCGCGTAACGTGTCTGCCATGCACTTGCGAAGGGACCGCCCAGTTTCTTGATGTATCCGTGCAGTATGCAATCCGATTCTGCAACATGTCAAACACGTTACAAACATATTATCAGGTAAAGACCGGTTCACGCGGGGAAGTTTTACATGTATAACATCACCAGTAAGTACATAGTATTTATTTATTAAGCCTTTATCATAATTATGTACGTTGTGGTTGTGTTTTTTCCTAATCGCTGATTAAATCAAGTTCCGTGAGTGCAAGATTTCCTTGTTCCGTTAGAAACGCCAACTTGATATCACTATAATATCGTCTTAGATTGTAGATCGTTATTTACGTTTTGGAATTCACACAGCGTATGAAGTATATATTTCATTAAGTAAGTAAATGAATTCATAATATGAATATAATAAACTAAACCTACAAATGTCCCGGAGTTGACGTATTTTACTTTCCATTCTCCCTTATCAGACGCCAAGTAAGTACCTATTGCTATTGTTCATGTCTCCCATAGTTTATTCATTTAAACAACCCTATTATAGTGATTTAGTTTTTTTATTCTTTGGCAAACAAGTCTCCAGAACGGTCTTGTCGACTATACTGCCAGTGTCGAGTGATGACGTTATTTGTTTCTATGTGATTAAACATGGGAGTTACATCTGCCAACAAACTGCAATGCAGTTCGGCAGAAGTTTTATAGAAATTATTGTTGTGTGTCATGAATAAACATGTTTCATTTTTATTCATTTCTGTAGTTTCATAAATCAGCAAACGAGGTTATGGAAAGCAATTGGCGTCGCTCATCGACATCCACAAGATCAGAATAGCTACAAAGGCGTTGCCGGCATTTAGGGATTGCAGATTTGAGGAAGATGAACAACGCCGTATGAGCGAGGTCACTGGAGATAACTTTATTCACAAGGCGCTGTTTCACGCCGATTTTCAGTGAGCTCGTGGTATTACTCCGGTAAGTTTAGTCAAGAGTTCTAGCGCATACCTTTCTCATCAGCATCGAACTTCTGTTTCTGCTTGGCCTTCTTCTTCTGCTCCATCTTGTCGGCCTCCTGGTTGATGGTCTCGAACACTGTCTCCGCCACCTCGGACTGCCAGCGCTCCGATATCACCAGCGGGAAGTCCTTGTATTGCATCTGATCCGCTTCAGTTAGCTGTCGAATTTTGAAAACATTATTAGTATAAAACTTTGTAAACGTGTTACTTATTTCTTATGACGTATTGGTGAATTTGCTATTTTTTGTCATTTCTCATGAATCCTTATTGGTGCACTTGGTATAAATATTTTAAACACACCGCCTTTACATAATCTATTACGTGTCCGTAGATAAATAGTATCGGAATTTTTAATGTATTGTAATAAGTACGAATAATGCTTCAGGTTACAAGTGGCTGGCTTGTTGGATGAGGAGAGCTGAATATCGAACACAGTGATATGCTTTTAGAGATACATAGACATGTCCAGCAAAGGGCGGAAACAGGATGAAAATGAATAATGTTTCAGGTAAACAATACCACTATTCCTATTTCGAATGTGTAATCTGAAATCATTAAAGAGGTAGAATAAAAGTATGTTTACAAGTAAAGAATGTTCCATACCTTGATGCCCTTAGTATCTTCCTCATCGAAGCTGCCGATATCGAAAGCGTCAGCAGCGTTGACCTCTCCCCGCGGCGGGATCAATGGCGGCGTGTATTTCTGGTGGTAGACTTGCTGCCAGTCGATGCCCGCGAAGAACACATGTTCTTTCACTTCATCAGCACTAGAATTTAACAAATGGATTTACTAAGTATG